GCTGTTGTGTGTCAGGGCAGAAGCTGTGACCCTTACTGGGACTTAGATTCTGGTTCAAATCGATTTAATTTCCTTTTCATATTATACATCTGACGTCAAGAGTTACTCAAGAGCAAGAAATATTTCTTCTACTTACTTACCTTGACCTAATGGATGTTCCCCGGGGTATGCCCGTCCTTCTTGTAGGGTCACAAATCTGACGCCTACAGGGAAATGGTAGAATTTTCTTCATTTGACGCCGTATAGTGTGGTAGGGCGTTACCAACGTTTCGGAGGAATATCCTACCTCCATTTCTTCTGCCCTGAAGATTGAGACAGAAGGGTCCTCCATAACAATGGTAGCTTTCTACCACACTACACGGCATCACAGGATGGAAGACGGTAATTTTCGTAACAATGAATGTCGTGTAATGGACGTAGAGTCCGGATAGCGACTGGCTACCGGCTGCACTCACCTCCAACTAATGCTGAGGTCAAGGAATTGTGGGTCTATACATCCACTCCCCATACGCCTTCATGGATTAGTGCTTAATTAGTTAAGCACAGGGACAACGTTACCTGTACCTTTTATGTAATGGATGTTGGTTATTTGTAAAACATTTCTTACGTGATCTTGAAAGAGGAGGCTAACAACAAAGATAGGTTACATCATAGGCATAAGAAACAGAACTCAATGGTAGAAAATGGCGGTTATTTAGCTGGTCAAGATATTCTGTGCTTTGGCCGCGCCATAGCTCAAGCGGTTAGTCGCTGGCTTCCCACCGCGGCGGCCCGGGTTCGATCCCGGGGTCAGGTCAAGTGGGATTTGTGGTGGACAAAGTGGCGCTGGGACAGGTTTTCTCCGAGTACTTCGGTTTCCCCTGCCATTCTTCATTCCACCAATTGCTCCACAATCACCCTCACCTATCATCTGGGACTGCTACAATAGGCCAGAAGTGGCCGCAGTACAAGGGACTTAGTCCCACCCCACTAGCATTAGAACAAAAAATTATTCTGTGCTTTAATGGAACCTAAGGGTCTTTAAAGACTCACCACCATGTTCACAAAATAAGTTATCTGACTATATCCTAAGGCAGCTGAATTCATTTCAGTTTTATGAGGTTGTATTTTCCCTTACAAGGATTTTTCAGTAAAACATACNGTAACCTGCCAGGGAGGATGTATGAAGTAATGGTAACCTGCCAGGGAGGATGTATGAAGTAATGGTAACCTGCCAGGGAGGATGTATGAAGTAATGGTAACCTGCCAGGGAGGATGTATGAAGTAATGGTAACCTGCCAGGGAGGATGTATGAAGTAATGGTAACCTGCCAGGGAGGATGTATGAAGTAATGGTAACCTGCCAGGGAGGATGTATGAAGTAATGGTAACCTGCCAGGGAGGATGTATGAAGTAATGGTAACCTGCCAGGGAGGATGTATGAAGTAATGGTAACCTGCCAGGGAGGATGTATGAAGTAATGGTAACCTGCCAGGGAGGATGTATGAAGTAATGGTAACCTGCCAGGGAGGATGTATGAAGTAATGGTAACCTGCCAGGGAGGATGTATGAAGTAATGGTAACCTGCCAGGGAGGATGTATGAAGTAATGGTAACCTGCCAGGGAGGATGTATGAAGTAATGGTAACCTGCCAGGGAGGATGTATGAAGTAATGGTAACCTGCCAGGGAGGATGTATGAAGTAATGGTAACCTGCCAGGGAGGATGTATGAAGTAATGGTAACCTGCCAGGGAGGATGTATGAAGTAATGGTAACCTGCCAGGGAGGATGTATGAAGTAATGGTAACCTGCCAGGGAGGATGTATGAAGTAATGGTAACCTGCCAGGGAGGATGTATGAAGTAATGGACATGTAGTACCAATCTTTTGTTAACCTTGAGTGGTGAGCTTCACACTCCAGCCTCTTTAGCCCAGGGGGTGTTTTCGACAGTGCCCATCACAAAGGAGGGTGTAGCATCGCAAAGTGTATCAAGTCTTTGTAGCAAGGAGTGTACCTTCCACTAGTTAAATACACATCCAGTCTGGATTGAACCAAAGTCTGTAAAAATCTTTAAAATTATCACAGAAGGTGAATAAATTTTATTATGTTGTTCAATATCTACTATCAGCCTATTGTTATTTTCAGTTTGATAACATCTTACTTTGGATGAAGTACCTATGTTACAAGGGTCATCAGTGAAGTGACGCTGTATAGTCCGGTACATGGTGTCACTTTTAGAAGAATGCAATATTAATATTCATTGATGCGAAGACCTTAAATCATGTTACAAGGATGTGTGCGACTGGCTACAGGTTCGATGACCGAGGGGTCAGAGTTTGAGTCCTAATGGGGGCAAGAATTTTCACTTTTACATGTCATCCAGACCGACTCTAGGGTCCACCCAGTCTCCTATCCAATGGGCACTAGGGGTTCTTTCGCTGGGGGTAAAGCTGTCAAGACGTGAAGTTGACCACTCACTTCCAACTAGTGCCGAAGTCAGGGAAACCTGGGTTTATGCCTCCACTCACCTGTACATGTTCATGGAGCAGTGCTTAGTTAGGTAAGCACACAGACAACTTTACCTTTACAAGGGTTTGAAAACTGGGAACTTTGAGAAAAATTTGGACCCCAGAGGGCAAAGTGGTCTCTTTATTACATAACTGAGGGGCTTCATGATGTGTGCAGGTCAAAGAATATTTGTTGGCACAGAGAAATAAAGGTTATGCAGGAATGGGCATGTGACATGGGTAGACATAAGGAATGTTTATAAAATTTTGGTAGTAAAACCTCTTGAAAACATCCATTCAGAATGTTAAGGAGATCTGAGGGTTGCATTAAGATGGATCACAGGTACATGTGTGGTATTATGAGGATGGAATTGGCTCAAGATCAAGCAGAGTAACCGACTTCGGTGTTAAGCAGTGTCAAGCTATCAATTCCACTGTTCAACAATTTTATATATATATATAAACTATAATTTTGCCTGTGGTTCTGTATGGTTATGAAACTTGGTCTCTGACATTAAGGGAACATAGACTGAGGGTGGGAACAGGGTGTTGAGGGGAATATTTGGACCGAAGAGGGATGAAGTGACAGGAGGTTGGAGAAAACTGCACAATGAGGAGCTTCATAACTTGTACTCTTCTCCAAGTATAATTAGAATGATCAAGTCAAGGAGAATGAGATGGGCATGGCATGTAGCACGAATGGGGGAGACGAGGAATGCGTATAGGATATTAGTGGGAAAGGCAGAGACCCCTGGGAAGACCGAGGCGTAGGTGAGTGGACAATATTAAAATTGGTCTTAGATAGGATTGGATGGTATGGATTGGATTGAGCTGGCTCAGGATAGGGACCAGCGGAGGGCTCTTATGAACACGGTAATGAACCTTTGGGTTCCATAAAATGCTGGGGAATTCTATATATATTCAGGATAGTTGAGATCTGTGTTTCTGCTTCAGGCTGTTTTACACTTATGCAACTTAATACATTTACAGTGTGTGACCAAGGAAAATCATAATATTGGCAGATATTGTAACGTCTTCCACTGTCTCTTTTTTTTTTTTTTGCCTTGAGAAACAGGATGTTCTGAAAGGTGGTCCTGATTCTGTCATCAGATAAAAGTATGAAACACACTGTGGAGTCCCTGAGATGGTGCTAATCTCCAACTTACATTATGATTGACATTAGGTAAAGGTAAATTTGTCCCTGTGATTAACTAACTAAGCACTACATGAAGGTGTATGAGGAGTGGATGTATAGATCCATAGCTTCATGCCCCATTAGTTCACTCTACTGGTCAAACAGAGAAGGTTTCATACTTTTATCTGATGACAGAAGCAAGATGTTCCTGGAATACTGTATTTTAAAGAAAAATTGACGGAAAATGACCAATGTATCGGTCAGTTTAATAGCATGTCACAGACCTTTAAAGAGAATCATATATCCACTGTTAAAGATTTAAAGTGTTTTTGGACTTTTTCCATCTTCCAGTATTCTATAAAATATAAAACACGTTTTGGAAACTGGATCCGTTTCCAACCTCATGTGATGGAGGAAAGACACCTACTCAGTTGGGCCCCTTAGGAAGAGCTAATCTCAATCACTGGACAACCCCTGTCACATTTACACAGCTATTTAAGCATCCGAGACCAGGCTAATTCGGTGGGAAATAACAAGAAAATATACAATAAAAATTGTTATAAAGCGCACACATGCATGGAACTAAGACAGAAAAGGAGGTAGAAATTTGTGCACCTGGTTTTCTTTCGGCTAAGTTTGTAGCACAAATTTCTAGCTCTGTTTATATCCTAATGCCATGCATGTGTGTGCTCTATCACAATTTTTATTGTATATTTTCTTGTTACCTCCCACCAAATTAGCTTGGTCTCAGATGATTAAATAGCTGTGTAAATGTAACAGGGGTTGTCCAGTGATTGAGATTAGATGTTTCTAAGGGGCCCAACTGAGTGTCTCCCCCCCTCACCTGAGGACGGAAACAGATCCAGTTTCCGAAACGTCATGTTTACATTTTCTAGAATACTGGACGATGGAAGAAGTCCAAAAACCCAGTAATTCTGTGTGTCAGAATCCTTTAGAACCTATTAAAAGTGGTTGAAAGCAAAAAAGTTAAGTCAGCTTCCAGCCAGTGCATTAATGCAGCAAAGTAAAAGTTCTATCTGAAAGCTCAGAAAGGAACATCTCTCTCCTAGAATATGAGGAATTGAGGTCAACCTCATTATTGAAGTTTAAGTGTTCTGGGTTACTTAGAGTCAGTACCAAAAAAATGAAGACACAAACTTATGTATAAACATTTGACAATTTATTACACAAATAAATCATCTCATGAAATGCAGTGTGTAGGCATTATACAAATATTTATGAAAATCTTTTGAACTTGAAAAACAATATAATGGGAGGAACAGATTCAAGAATTTCCATGCCAAGACATGGGAAACAACTGCTTAATATAAGATCCCACATCACTTTAAAACTGAAAGGACATTAAACCTTAGTTACATATTTCACCTTTATTTTGGCATCTGGGTCAAATTTTTTTCATAAACATTCAGTGAACTTCAGTAACAAAGATTCCCTGACATACATATAAATTTCTGAATAATGGAAAACTTTGGGCTCCATAAAAATTTCAATAAAGTTGAGAAAATTGCTAATACATGTATAAAATGGAAGCCGAAACTTCTAAAACTGAAAAACAATTTAATTTCCAATTTTCTACACACATTAATGAAATATCATTTTGTATCATACAAAATGTAACTTCCCAGAATTTACTTATCAGTAATTACTGTCATGTTCATAACATTTAGAACAAAATGAAATACTATTAAGAGAAAGTGTTTCTGAAATGTGAAGCTCATTATGGGTACAGTCTCAACCTGGCTTCAAGAAATGCACTTGTATGCATACTTGTAAAATGGTGCTTCAGTAATTTACAAGTATACAGAATTATCTTTTAAAGCTTTAATTGATTCACAGGAATCCAGAAGTGTAAGACGGACAGCCTTTAATTTTTCTAAAACAACAAATAGATTATTTTTCAGCTGCGTTCTCAGTCTAATTACGAGGCCTAGTACAATCATTTCCGTCGTTCCAAATAAAAAACAACAAATACCTGTTACAGCATTACAAAATGTGAACTTACTGACAAGAACATTTTCATACTCATGTTTCAAACTACACAGGAAATGGAAATAGGATGGCCAGCATCTGTGACATTTCCTGACCTAAAACATAACTAATTAATAATGTTATTACTAAGACGGCACAACTAGGCATACTTAAGCTACATTTTTTTCCTGGTTAGGTAACACACCGAAAGACAGCCTCATCCGTTTGGATACACGTTCCTCATTTTGGAAAGGGGCTCAGTTTTGACAAAATTATAATGCGGAACAAATAATCTTTAATGAAACGATCCTGGCTTGTAATGCATGAATCATTTATTAAAAACAAAATTTGAATAAGTAGCTGATTAAGTATTGTGTTACATTTATACTGCAGAAACTGGCAACGTGACTATTTTTTGTACTGTACTGCCACCAAAAGGGTTATAATAATAGGCTATTCACACATCACTGCACTCTCTCCACATTCTTGCACCAAAAGGATCACACATAAATTACCAACTCATATTCACAAAAAATACATAGGCTCCCCCACACACCTCGCTGCACAATGACAAATCACACACTTGTGCATATAATTTTTCAGAAGATGTGTCCATGTAACTGCAATAAGCAATGTCTCCATCTTGCCAATATCACAGTTACAGAGAGAAATATATATATATAGAGATAGTTTTAATACCAGAGTTGTTTACGCTGAGGAAAGCTGTGCAATCTATCTGATATTCCTGACTACATAATTTAACCTATCTCCCCCGCAATTAAATGTAATCAGCACTGTTCAGATTTCCTGTTTTAGATAACATAGATGGATTCATGGATGAGTGTGGAGACGAATTTCTACCGACAAAACCTGTTATCATTTCTTGTATTGATATTAAATTTCTGCCACCAAAATGAATTGCAATTTTTTTAACACAGATTAATTAACCTGAGTTGTTAACGTCAGTTTCACCAACATGAATTAAACTCTTGTTGACTATGACTCAACAGTCAATCATGAACTTTGGTTTTGCAGTTGTCTTAGAAGGTAGAAACAATCACACGGCCCCACCAACATCATTTTGATAACGTTGTGTCAGGTATACAGCAGCCTCGGTCATCTGCTGGAGGGAGCGATGAAGACCATGGAGATGCCTATGGAAATTTTCAGCTACTTGAAGCGAGCAGTCAGGACCTTGTCTATTATTATCTTCGGCTTCTATTCCGGAATCGTTTTCATTACCTGCATCAGAATCGGTATCAGAAATGGAAGTTATGGAGTTTGTTGAGGTCATTGATACGGTTGATGGACGCCTACAATGGCCCTTTACAGTTGCAGGGGAAACTGTAGTTGAGGTTACTGAACCACTTCCACCATTCTGGGATTTCTGTCCTTTGTCATCCTCTTCTGGTGGCACACTCTGTCCCCACAAGAGCTCATTCTTGACAGAGTTGATCATTGTATATAGGTTGTATAGATCAGTGGATGCCATATCATTTAGGCTGGAGTTGCTTCGTTTCCCGCTGTTGGCACTACCTGGATGATTCGATGAAGTTTTCATCTCTACAATGGTATCTCCGGCATCTCCCATTTTAAGGTCCATGAGCCTGCATGGAACCAGTATCGTCTCGTCCATGTCGTTGACAGCTTTCACAAATTTCTCCATGGCGTTCATTATACTTTGATTTGAGAATTCAGTATCGTCGTGACGGGCAATCCTCCTCAGGCAGTTCCTAGAAATTGCAAACAAATATCCCACCTTTAGACTATAGATTTCTCCGCTCCCGATAATGGTCGCAGCTTTCGACCATTATTATACAATATAACCAAGTATTTTTTGTTTCTAATTAGGAAATAGTAATTTATTTTGGTGGTGTTTGGGGGAGGGGGGTTAGAATCGTCCACTATCACAGTCGTGCACACAACGCGCACCATTAAACTTCCTTATACATGAATGACATACTTTTGCCTCTTGCATAACATTTGAATGGAAGGTGACGAAAACTCTGTTACTTCTTGAGTAATTAAACTAAAGACCATAAAACTTCTCACAATAAAGTAATCAAACGGCTAAGAAAACGTGCCAACTCCCAAACCCTTAAGTCATATTTTCACTCACAAAAACGAAAATTTCCTAAGAAAAAGAGGACATGTACCCTGATCATACCAACAGACTACAAAAGTATAGCATTTAGGAATGCAGATAATACCTCACCTGTTATTTTCCATATTTGAAGAAACAGATACGTCACTATATCCTTTCAAAATTTCACCCGTTAGCATTACTGTGTAACAGCAGCAACTACCTCCACTCACTAGTCCCTCAACCTCCAATGACAACCGATAACACTCTGTCGCTAGCTTATATTAACACAGCGTAAACCCGTTGGGGCTCGGGAACTATGTCGGACGAGCCGCGTGTTAAATATTGAAGAAGATCGATGATGTTTGCGGTTATGTTTACGTTCTGTAACTTAAAATGCGCAATGTAATGTGTGATGTGATGTTTGAGATTCGGTTATTTTATGTATTTGAAAGTATAAAAGACTAGAACAACATCGCATATTACCTTCGTTTAGTGATCTATAAGGATAAACAGAACAACGCTGTTTAAAAATTCAGTAACCTTGCATGTTGAAACCTCAACAGCGATTCAAAAAATTAATAATATGTTCCACATTACAGAACTTTTAGAATGTTTGGTTGTAAATAATGGTTTACATACACATTAACTTAGTCGTTGACAAAATGTAATACGTTAGAATGTATATGCGTAATGTATTTTAACTTCCCATATTCGATTAGTATATATTATATAGTGTATTTAAATGCATGAAGTAAATCGTTCACGTAAGATGCCAAACGAATTTTGTTTAACAGAACGCAATTCAAATAGATGTACTGAGTTTAAAGGTATGTTTAATACATACTGAAGGGCATATGTGAATGTATATATTCTGTAACAAATTTCATACTTTTTGTAAGGACCAAAACATATAATGTGTTCCAATGAATACACGGTGCCTAAGCAACGAAAATGTTTTAAAACTTGGCAGTAGGTTTAATAATTTTCATATGAAAAGTCATTCAGTGATGTGCTATATAGATCAGAATTTAACTGCACCTAAAAGAGCTGACACATGTTTGAAATTATATTTTAACACAAGAATTACCTGACCTGGCTGACAGTACCTGCTCAGAAGACCTTTGCCCAGGCCCATGGGCGAAGACCAAAACAGATACAGGGGCATTTTAATTTGTGATTGAATCCAACACATATGGCAAAGCATATGGAGCAGGCAGCCATTCCATTCGGGATAATAAAATGAGGCAATGTTTGTATCTGATGCTAGGGACGGCTGCAACCTGGCAGTAGGCAGATGGAACTTAGGAGTAAGGGAGAAGACATTTCTTCTGAGGAATGATAACCTAAGAATTTGTCATGTAAGTCTGGATACAGCAAAGTAGCAGCCCTACAACTAGACTCACCCATCAGCAGGCCCATAAACTTTGATGGGAAAATCTTGATTACTGACTTATCCCGTGGGAAACTCCAGATTGAGGCAGTGTACAAAAAAAATAATAATAACAGATGAAGCACAAGGTGCTTGATACACTCAATTTTATGTAAATGAGAAATTTGTTATAATTGTTTCACAGTAAGTTCTACGGGTCCATATGTCATACAGTTAAGAAGCCGCTGTTAATCATGTAAGGTCTTAAACAGAATAGAGAATGCATGACAAAAGAAATGCTTTTAAGGTTAATTGAAACTGACTGAAGTCAGTAGACAGACAGTAGATCTTCCTGGGGAGTTTGCTGTACATTTTAATTCTGGTAAGATGCATTTTTCGTACATTATAAGATTAGCTGTTGTTCCATAGAGATCATGGCTATGCATAATTTACACTTTATGAATCTCTGGATTTGAGTACATACATAATTCATAAATTCACTGATCCGTTGTCCGAATTGGACCGGATATTGAACTCGTCAAAATAAGACTTTATTGCAGAAGTAAAATCGTGTCAACAGCAAACAACCACACACAACCAAAAGCATCAAATAACCATAATTTTCATTGTCATTCATAAACAAAATTACAAGGTATAGAGTTATTAAATGTTATACATGCTTAGCAGAAATATATTCATCTATTGAATAAAAAGCATTTGTTGTGAGGAAACTTTTCAGTGTACATTTAAAAATCTTCGCATTATCGCTCGTCATTTGTGTCGAGTATCAATGAAAAATCTTTTAAATAAACCTCTGACATGACCCACTTCCCTAATCATTAGTTACAATTCTAGTTTTCTTATGCAGGACAAATATTTTATTACTGTTAATGGAATTTCCTCAGAAAAATTTTATGATAATGACATGATAGTGAATGTATATGAACTGCAATGTCTTTAGAAGATCTGGGCTAGCAAATTATAGAAGGGATCTTACGAAAAGCAAATAAAACTTAATTTTTAGTATTATCTGGTCTGTGTGGCTTATTCAGTTTGACTGATTCTAAATTCATATACCAAGGAACTTTGCAATGAGCTGAATTTACAGATTGAACATAGTAATGTCTTTTGATATCACTCAGAAATCATAATCACTTTCTCAGCACTATGAAATATCGTGAATCGAATTATCCCATGATTGTGCAAATATGTTTTATATACAGATGTTCCATAGCTGAACAGTCAAAGGTCAAAATGCCAAGACCTCTAGTTTTGCCATCACAGGCAAGAAGTGAGTAAGACATAAATGGTCATTTCTATTGGCTTATTTTTGACTTCACCCATCGTCTGGTATGTAAAAGACAAAAAGACCACGACGTTTCAGAGACTGGATCTGTCTCCGTCTTCAGGTGGGTAGGAAAGGATAAACCTACTCAGTCGGACCCGTTAGAGACTGGGTCTTTCTAACGGGCCCAACTGAGTAGGTTTATGTGGTAATATAGTCACAGTAAGGTTTAAGTAAGTCTGTTCACAGTCAAATAATCAAAACTGCTCAAGTTATATAACATCCAGTATATTACAGAATGATTATAAATGGAGAAATGTGAAATTTGGAAGGAAGCAGTCGCCTCATATTTTATGACTTTCCCGATATGTGATTGGAAGTTTCTGAAAGAAAATTGTGAATAATCAGGTTCAGAACCAAATTTTTTTTTTTTTTGCTCGCAATTGAAAATGTGTAGTCATCCATCTAGTCAAGATGTTTGGATTTTGTCTGAAGATATGAAATTGTCAGAAGTTTATTACTGACAGATTCAAGTGTTAATGACATGTTAATGGATCATTCTGCAGCAATGTGTCACATGGCCTATGATGCATGACCCTCTGAATTATCTCCTTGCATATTGACACCCAACTCGTGGACTATTTATAATAAAAATTGTTCTTTTTCTGTAGTTTGCTGTTGCCACATAACTGATAACAGCTTCTTACATAACTTGGCAAATGTTAATGATGAGTAAATGTACACAAATGTCTCTCACTGAAATGGAACAAATTATATAAATGAGTTTAAGAAGAGAATGCCAAGAATAATGTTTATGCAAAAGAGAGGTCATAGTAAGAGAATGGATAAAATTGCATATGAGAATTTCCATAATGGTTTTGTACTCTTCGTCTTCTCTTGTAGGGTGAACAGATTAAGGAGAGCGAGATTAGTGGAACATGTAGCGCATGGAGATAAAACATGTGTACAAGATTTTAGTCTGAAAATTATGAAGGGAAGAGACTGCTTTGGAGATCTGTGTGTAGATGGGAGTACGGTGTTAAAACAGATCTTAACATTTTGAAGTCTGAAGGCCATCTAAATATCTACAATTTCATTTGCTTACAGAAAGAACTTTCATTACAAATATCAGTCAGTTATTGATGTCATTTAGGAAATTCATATGAAACACATGAATATACTGTGTGAAAAAGTTACAGAATACTTTTATGTTAAAGTAGGTTCTCTATATAGTAATCACGCTGAAAAGGTTGAATGAACAAGATCTAAGAATACAGACTTGATTTGACCACTCAAGAGAGAGACTAGTAGCAGACTGTTACAAACTCAGGAATGAACATCCCGTGTGGAGGCAGGGTTGAATACCTCCACCTTGACCCTGCGAGTTGTAGGAGGTGACAAAAAAGGAAATCTAAAATCTGAGACAGTAAAATATGGTCACGAGTACCAAGGGTCTTGGAGTCAAGAAAGACTGCGCTGGCAAGGGCCAGCAACATATACAAAAGACAGACCCATCCTCTCATCAGAGATGGTGCCCCACAGAAACAAGACCGTAACTGTCAAACAGTAATAAATATCTGGTCATGAGCCCCAGATGGGGCTCGACACCAAGACTGACTGACTGATTGGCCGTCAGTCGCAATGTGACTTTGACCTGACTTGACCAACTGAGCACCTGTCACCTTCTCAAAGGGGGACTGTACTATGAAATTAGTTGAATTTTTTTTTTAAACACAAACATTTGAGGGTACAGTTTTTTCAGTAGAACCATTTATTTCTGTATACAGGGAGCAGTGTGTCTTCAACCCTATGGTTAAAATCGCCATAGACTACAGATAGCCGGGATTTGCTAAATTTTAAGTGGAGCTGGGATTAAGAACAAGCAACTCTGTTATAATGTGGTGAGTAGGTAAATACATATATCCACTGTATTTTATAGAAAAGGGACTGCAGATTGGTGCAGGTAGATTGATGTCAGCATTTACAATTTTTTTATTTCCTGTTTGCCAAAAGTTCACCACCTTGCAAATATACATTGAAAGTACCCACTCTCAGGGACTAACTATTCTCGCAATGGTGACAGAAGCATGAACGCTATGGTTTTGTGGCATATGTGTGGTAAATATTCATGAGCATTCATCGGAACATATTGTCAGCATATTTAGGGCTTGAAGGTGGTGATAGTAATTTTAATTTTGTACGAGTTCCTTGGGGTTAATGCAGCAAACAGAGAATAGTTGTCGGTAGTGCTTTTTTTGGGTCACGAAGAAACGCTCGTTGCGCCATCTATGAGTAATTTGTAAAATTGCTCTGACATTGCCATCTGATGGTCAATATGATCATCACACTGTGAAATATTAAGATTCCCAAGGGCGTTACTGAAGATGCTGGCTTTTGGGATGTCTTTTAATCGTTGTTCTGAGATTGGTCCGTACGTTTTGTGTCCCTGGGTTATAGGTTGCCAAATGAATTATATGACATATCTAAGATGTAATTTTTTAAACGAGTTAGGGGCACTATGTAACATGGTTGAGACACTACGCTACAAGCCGGAAGGTCGCGAGTTTAAATCCCAGTGAGGTCATTGGATTTTTTTCAATTGACCTA